TAGATTAATTGGGAACATATTTCCATGGCCCGTATGTGTTTACTTGGTCATTTTAAAAGATCACCCTTGTACCATAATTTTATTTGTTCATCTACTATGGCTGAACATTTAGGCTTAAATGAAAAACTGCTATGAACAGCCATCCAACTGTTTTCATTCACTACTATTTTCTAATCCATGTTAGAAAGCCAATCAATATTACAATCGAAGCCTTCCAGTCGAATCCTACGCCATTTCTTTTGTGGAATAGTGAGATCATTTCCAAGTTTGCTAGTCCTGCAAGAGAACCAGCATTGTCCCTTTTTTGTGTGGTGAGAAAACTCCTATTTAGAGGGGGGTCTATGGTGCCCCGAAAGCCAGCGGAATGGTCCTGGGGGAGAGCAGGTATTCAGCTAACCCTGAACACCCTGGTCTACCCAAGCTCCCCTGCAAGCTGGTTGGGGGCAACTAGACTCGGCGATGACCACATCCAGCCCTGCCGAGCCCCTTCCAAGAGGAGCTGGCCTCTGTTCCTTAGTCTAAACAAAACGTCAGTCTAGGGAAAGTGGGGCTGGAAAGGGTTCTAGCCAGGGAATAGGGCATTAGCCAAGCACCTGACAGTGCAGAAAATGACTGCGTTTCCCAGAGACCCTGGGCTAGCTGTGGACACGTGACCACCGTCGAGCCAAGGGGATGATGCAGATATAGAACTTCTCAGTGACAACCTAAAGGAGCAGGCTGCCCGCCATCCCCTTTCCTCTTCCTGTGGGCTGGACGCAGTCAGGGTTATCAGGGCAACACAGAGGGGAGCTGGTAAGCGCCCAGCTTCCCTGTGTTGGTGTTCTTGTTTAGACTGTTACAGGAATAGAGGCCAGCTCCTATTCTGTTATTTTAGGTTTGTGCACCCCTAGTAATGAGAATACAAGTTAAGGTTTACGAGATATAAAAAGAGAAGACAGGCTGGAAACTCTACCAACCCACTGGATTTTTCACTTGTTCTTCAGATGCCTGCCTGTTAGTAAAAGCAAAAGCAGAAGAAGGAATCCATACATCCTTCTTACAATCATAACCTGAATGACTTTGAGTTCGGAAAGTTTTAGTTCTCTTCTGGAAGCTACTTCCTAAGCAAACCTTCATCTATTTGTGGATGAAATCACCCTTCTTTTACCTTTAAAAAGTCTAGAGTGAAGACTGTGGGCGGGGAGTTGCCTCTGGGTACAGTTTCAGTTTTACACAAAGAGAAAGCTCTGGCAAGCTTGGTGGTGGTGGCTGTTTGCACAATGAGAATGTAATTAGCACTGCTGTGCAGTAGAAATGGTTGAGAAGGTAGATTTTGTCTGTACTTTACTCAAAAAGATTTTTTTAGGGTCTAGAGTGATGATTTTCAAACCTTTTTTTGCAAAGGTTTGAAGATCTTTTTTCAACAAACTCCTTAAGAGCAACTGGAATGTAAAATAAAGGCACTCACTCTGGTTGGGCACAACCACCCTTCTCCACCATCCATCCTCTCACCTTGTGGGCTCTTCACAAACTTGAAAACTTTTTAAAAGTCCATTTGTGAAATTGGTCTAGTGGGATAGTTAAATTTTTTAGAAAACAAGTATAGCATGTTGTCACGGGAACAGAGACACAGCCTGAATACACCAGCAAATGTGGCCTTTTGTGAGCAGCGAGATTCAGTTCTCCCAATGAACATCTAAATTCAATTTCATCCCCATCAACGTCCTGACTGGGTTGGGGGTTTCTGTTGTTTTGGCTTTTGTAGAATTTGACAAATGAAGGCATGAGGCGGGCACCACCTTATCGATCCTTGGGAGAAATTTCAGCAGAGCAGGGAGATGTTGGCCAGGGTTACAGAACCTTCTCCAGACTTCTGCCAACTTGGGCATACTGACCACACCTGACACACTTCCCTGCCCCAGACCCCACTGAAATCACTAGATAGCCATAAAAAGGGGACAAATCTAAAAAAAAAAAAAAAAAGGGACAAATCTACCCGACAATGTGAAGTTTCTGTAAGGAAGTGGATAGAGGAGGAAAGTAGTCTCAGCAGGTAAGAGAAGACTTACCCCCACCCCACTGCACCCACAGACCTAAAAGGAATAAGAACCCAAATATCATAACTAACCACAACAGATAGAGTAAAAGACACTTTTGAGCCAAATGGGGGATTTGGGTGTGGATCAGACGAAGGATGACGACATGGAATTACTTCATTTTGGAGATGGGATCAGCATGATGGCTATGCTTACCTGCTTGCTTTCAGATTCAGACTGAAAAATCGGGATAACATGCCATGTCTGTGGTTCCCCTAAAATACCCCACCAAGAAGGAGGGCGGTGGATAGAGTCAAGTCTAACAAGATGACGGTTCTTGAGGCTGTGTGCTGGACACTCAGGGTTTTCCCACCAACTCTGCTTTTGTGAGTATTCAGAAATTCTCAAATTCAAACAAATGTCATGCACCCCTAGGTGACTTTTAAGCCACTCCTCCCCCCCCAACCGAAATAAGTTAAAAAAAAAACTCCATTACCTATATCACCCCACCATGCAAGATGTTCTCCCTAAAATTGATGGCTGGTTTATGTGTCATCAAAATAAGCTAAATTTTCAAATTTTTAGCAGTTCATTACCCATAAGAGCACATATCTACATGAATTTGTGCATGTGCATAGATTGTTATAATCACGTTATACATCTAAATAGAATAATCTGTTTGTATAGATATCACATATGAGATTGTGAAAGCAATGTAGTTCTATTTTTTAAAGTGTGGAAGAGAGGAAGTTCTAACCTTATTTCGACACAATCACTGTTATCATTTTCACATCCAGACTTTTCTTAGGTTGTTCCTAGCACACTGTATCTAGGTAGTCTGACTCGTTCAGTGAATGCTGAACCATAAGCATTTTTTGAATGATGTTTCCATGATTCTTAAGCTTGTTGTATCTCTCCAGCACAAATGCACTGTGGATTTACTATAGAAAACTAGAACGTGTAGAAAAGCAGAAGACAGCGAGCCCAGCCTCTTCTCGGAGATGGCCGTGGCTCTGCTAGGCTTGGTGCATCACAGCAGTTTTGAGTTTAGTTTTAAAACTGTCCAAACCCCTGGGTGAGGGGTGGCTAGCTTCAGATCTCCCCTGGACCAGAACTAAGGCTACATGGATAGTCCTGGGCTTAGGTTTTATTAAGATCCAGCCTTTGGTCGGAGTCTCTCGCGGGGTATCACCTTATAATCACAGCCTTTGTCGAATCTAAACCTGAGTGTGTGGCAGTTATCGCTGCAATCCGTCTCACCCACCACACCCCGGGAACCGTCAGGACCTCCAGGGCCCAGCCGAAGCCCCAGGCACAGTCTCCCCTGTGCCGCTTACCACCAGGTGTGCCTTTGAAGCCCTTAAACTCTCTGGTGAACTCAGTGGAGACCGCTCAGTAAGCATCAGCTGGGCCTGCAGTGATGCTGTTTGCACGTCCTACCCGTGGAAAGGGAGCAGGCTTTGCCCAGCTGTCTACTAACCCACGGGGCTTATGACTCTGGATCCTTTCTGGTGAAGGGTCTCCAGCTTTAAGTGGCGAGGGATCCAGAGAGGATCAAGCTCCGTAACAGGGACACCAGGTTCAAGTCTTGGTAGACTTGAACCAGGGGTCAAGTCTGAGTGAGCATGCTTTGGTGTTGCCAGGGAGCCAACCAGCAGGCTTTTAGCCTGCTGTCCCTAGGTCAAGTGGGTCCTGCATCAGGAACACGTGTTATCTAGAAGTGAAGGAGTAAGATCCTTCAGGCAATTGAAAGCCCCTAAAATCTCTGAGCTATCAGGGTCTGATCATGGACCTCTCAGGGGGGTGGGCAGGCTGTGTAGATCAGTGTTGTTCAACCTGCACTGTGCACACAAAGTCCCTGGAATCTTATTAAATTCAGACTCTGACTCAGGCCTGCAGTGAACACTGGGATTGTCTCACTAACGTTCCAGACCAGGCCTGCTGGGACCCAAGTGAGCAGCAGCCCGGCACGCAGCTCCCAGGGGAAGAACTCACCTCTCCTGGACTCTTCTCTGAGGGCCTCACCTCCTCTGTGTCCCCCCCAAGTCTGCACACAGAACCCCAGCTTCTGGAAACTGTCACTGTACTGAAGCGAAGCTTTGACTGGATGTGATGGGGAGCCTCCATGTCTGCAGCCTGTTCCAGGGCCACCTGTCCTGAGGTGTTGCTTGTTAGGATGCGAGGCTCACAACCCCTGCTAGGGAGAGGCCCATCACAGCCTTGGTACAGGAGGGGTGGGCCCAGCTGAGGGCATGCCAAGCCAGCCCAACAAAACCCACACCCCAGCTGCAGCTCAGGCACAAGGCTGGGCTGGGGAAGCACTCCATGTGACCCAGGACTCAGGTGAGCCGACTCAGCCTCTGGGCTGCTCTTTCCAATCCAGCAGAGGCTGCAGCCCCCCACTCTCCACCCTGGGAGTGTGGGGTCAGCACTAGTGCCTGGGAGTCAGCCCAGGTTGGGGATGGCGATGGCTGTCTTTAGTCCCCGGGGCCCTAGCTCAAGCTGTTTGTGAAGAAGCGCTTTGTCGGGGGAAGCCCATCACTCAACAGGAGTTTGGTGTCCTAGGTGGGTCTGGGGGGTCTTTCCAGCAGACAGAAACGGTAGAGTGGGCTGGGGTGGTGTCAGGAGCATGGCTGGGCCTGCCTGGGCCTTGTGGCCTCTTGAAGGAGACTGAGGGCAGCATGGACAGTGCAGAGGTCTGAGAAGGGGTGACTCAGCGTGAGCTTTGGAAACTCCCTGCAGCCAGCGTGGACTCTGGAGGCAGGACCAGGAGAGGCTGGACAGAGGCCAGGTGGGGCCAGAGTGGCCCTGGGCATGGTGACAGAAGCCTTTAGGCTGAGGGTAAGGAGGGGGGCCATGACACCCTGGCTCCCCTGAAGGCCTACTTTGCCATGGGAGGCCTGGAGACAGGGAAATCAGCTGGGCAGATGAGGTCATCTTGGGCTCAAAGGTGAGAGAACAGGTCTCAGGCGCCACCGGGTCATTACAGAAATCTGTTTAATGGTTGAGGAATGTGCACACTCTGGCTCTCCTAAGTCTCCATGAAGGCAACGTTTCCATGTTTTAAAAAATAGATTCGATATAAAGATTTGTATGTTCATAAATAGATAATGTGAAAAATCCCCAAATGCAAATGGCATCCTTGGGTTGGCTGAGGTGCGCCCCACCCCAGCAGTCCAGGCCAGCAGGGGTCACAGCTTCCGGGGGGCCCTACCGTGCACAGCCCTCCTGGGAAAGTGAACTGAATTCAATATGAATTAGGAGCTCCTCCAGCTCCAAACCTGCCCATCCTGTGTCCTCAAGGTTAAAGGCCACTCCCAGGGGGACAGAGACCTACCCTCCAGCACAGGGACAGGACTCAGCCTCTGCCCTCAGGAGACGGGTGCTAGGATACTTCCTGGCCTCCTCCCCTTCACCCTGACCCTACCTGTCCTTGTTCTTTGCAATTTATAAACCAAGAGAGAGATTCAGCTGTCCCTGCCCAGAGGCCCTGACCCGCTGGGAGAGGGGCTGGCCCATCTTGCTTTTTGTCTCACACACTTCCCCATTTCCTGCACGGAGGCCTGGGCCAGGAGGTGGTGAGCCCTGCCTGAGGGACCACTACAGAGCAGGCCCCCAGGCTGCCTGTTACCCTTGGAGGGGCCTGGTGGGATGGTGGGTGGCTCAGTGGGAGACGACCTCAGCCCGGGGCAGGGGAGCCATGCAGGCCAAGGGCTGGGGAAAAACTCATTCTTGCTGGAGGGTGCGGTGGGCAAACTTGGGGTATAACCAGCTGGGTCACTTGTAGGTTCTAAGAGACGTGAATCAACAGGCAGGGCGGGTAAAGGGGGGCGGGCCAGAAGGGGTCTGGGGCAGGGTGGGCTGTGGAGGTCTGGACATCCTGGAGGAGCACGGGCTGCTCCGGAGCCCTGGAGGCGGGAGAGCAGGGAGACGGCCCAGGGCGACCTCAGACCAGCCACTCAGAGGAGCAAGCCGTAGCTTGGGTGGTGGAGACAGGAGCCCCAGGGCAAGGAGGTTAGTGAGGGGATGGGGTCTGTCTGGGGTGGAGGGGCAGGGGGTCGTAAAGGTGGCATCCCCAGCACCATGGGGGGTAGGGAGAACATAAGGAGCCCGGGCGCCCTGGATTCTAGGCTAAACCCCCTGGAGTGTGAGGCTGCTCCCAAGCATGGAGGATGGGGTAGCAGGGGCCCCTTAGTCCAAGCTTCTGACATCTTGGGCTGTGAAAGGGGAGGAAGCGAGGTGCTCGTTCCTTGGTGGCTGGGTGAGCCAAGAAGCCACCAATGAGGAAAGCTCCCGACCCAGGCTGGGCCAGCCCTCCCCAGCTAAGCCTTCCCTGGCCTTCAGGTCGGTCCTGGGGACCAGCATGACTTGCAGGGCAAGTGCCAAATGAACTATCACCAGCCAGCTACCCATCCCTGTTCCAGCCTGGCTCCTCGCGGCAGCCGAGGGCACCAGTGAAGGAGAGGCTTCTGAGGGGGCAGTCACCATGTGCTCGACTGGAACTAGGTGGCAAGTCAACCCTGGAAATAGGCCCAGGCCTCTGCTCCAAACCCCTACCTGCGCCTTGCCCCCAAAGCAGCAGATTTCTGAGGTCAGGCTTTGTGAGATTCTCTCCTAGCTGTGCCCGAACGTCAGCCCCCTGCAGAGGTCAAGGGGCTGGAGGGCCATTGCGTTTGGCCTGAATGGGGTCCTCTTACAGGCACTTTCCACCTGCTGGCAGAGCCCAGGCGCCACGAACAGGGCAGACACCACCACCTCTCCCTGCCAGCTGCTTGGCCCTGGCCCTGCTCAGCCCATCCCATCAGCAGGGCTGCTCAGGAAGGCAGGCAGGCGGTCTTCCTGCTTCCAGCTCCCACCTCAGCTGACTCCCCTCAGGGCAGACCCCAGGGCTGCTACCACCGTGGGCTGCTCCAGGCCTCTGGCTTCCAGCCCTCCCCCAGGCCTGCCTGGGAGAGAGCCCTGCAGACCACAGTGCTCAGAGGGGAAGGCAAAGGCGCACGATGGGATGAGCAGGGGGCCGCCTGGGCTCCGGCCCCTTTGGCTGAGGGCATGGCCTGGAGGGCAGTTCACTTCCTGGGGCGCCACACTGAGGGGCCAGAGGGGCTGGACTGGAGGGCAGGGTTGGTGGGGCACATCACATGCCCCCAGTAGTCCCCACCGTCCCCTGAGCCATGCCCAGAGAACTCGCGCCTGCCTTCCAGCCTCAGAGCCCAGGACAGGGAAAGGCCATTAAAAGGGGGGTAGTCCAAGCCAACCACGGACTGCCGGGGCCTAGCCTGTAGGCTGCACCTGGAGAGGCAGCACGTGGGTGAAGCCTGGGTGTCCAGGCTCACTCTCAGACCTGGACCTCGGGAACACCAGCTTTCACTTTTCTCTTAAAGGTCCAGTTCCTCTCTCAGGCCCCTATCCCCAAGCTTCTGAGAGCTGGTGCCCCAAAAGGAGTTGGTTTTGCAATCCGAGTGTCAAAACGTAGGGCTGCACGCCAGCAGAGTCCCCACTCGGCTGTGCGCCCTTACCCCTTGCCTGTGCTGATGAGAACGAGAAGCTACATGGAAAACCAGAAGACTTGAGTGGCTTTGCTGAGAGCGAGCTGGCCACAAGGTGTCTGTGAATTCAGAGCTGGCAGTGAAGAGAGGAAGAAGGCTCCATGCCCGGGAGGGTCAGGGCGTCCCCGACTCAGGAGCTGAGTCCGTTGGGCCAGTCGCCCTTGCTCTCAGCGGCTACATATGGAGGCTCTGGAAGGGCCTGGAAGACCTGGCACCAGCCCCATCCCAGGGAATCAGCAGGCTACCCCGCCGCCACAGCTGCCTGGGTGTGAGATGGCCGGAACCAGCGCGGTGTGGGGGGGGGGGAGGCACGCTCCTGGCCCCACGCCCACGCTGTCCATGCAGGCCAGTGCTGGAATGTGAAGAACTTGGGGGGACAGCCGCTGGCTGGCAAGATGGGCCCCACACCCTACCCTGTGCCCACAGTTCTCCTGTGCAGGAGGTTCTCCTGCGTCTTCCTTCAAGCATCCAGGCCCCAGGATGGTTAATTCCAGGACTTTATCCAGCTGCCCCAGAACTGCTGGCATCCAGGAGGGCCAGTTGTGTAGGCTGGGCTTGGCAGGCCAGAAAGAGAGAAGGTGGGGAGGCCCCTGCCTGCCTGCCCGGCACCCCGGTCAGCACCCGCAGCCCCAGCTCTCTCCAATGTCCTTGCTGTCCAGCTGGATGTGGTCGGTGCCCTTCTCACTGAGCAGAGGGCCCCCATGCCTCATCACCAGCTCTGTGGCCACCCTCACGAAGGCCTCCTCCACGTTGTTCGAGTCCTTGGCAGACGTCTCGATGGCACACAGGATGTCGTAGTGCTCCGCCAGGCTCTGCGCCTCGGCCAGCGGGACCTCCCGGAGCTCGCCGAGGTCAGACTTGTTCCCTGCAGGGAAAGGCCGGGGGAGCTCAGAGGGTACACTGGTGCCCGGCCAGGCTATTTTACCTGGCAGAGCCAAGTGAGACCCGGTACCATCCCCTGCCCTGTCAGCTGCCAATAAACACGGCATGTGTCGCTTACCTGTTTTTTTTTTTTTTAAGTTTTTAATTTTAAAGTCCTTACTCTAGTCTTTATTCCTTCATCTTTTCTTTTTTTCTTGCCTTTGCCACGTTTGTATATTTTATTGCTTTTCCCTAAGAATCAGAAGCACTGAGTTCGGTGGTAAGAACACGGACTTCAGCGGAAGGAGAAGCCTCTCTTTCCTATTGCTTCTGTGTCACCCAGGCAGCCACATCGCCTAGGCGGTTTCCCCACTGACGAGGCCACCTCAGCAGAGTAGGGGTTAAATAATGCAACGCACATGAGGACAACTGGCACGTGACAGGCCATCTGGTCAGTGTTGACGTAACAGGGAACTTGGCCTTGCTAGTTTTTTTCTAAAATGTTATTATTATGTTCATTGTTTACTCTTGCCTATTTTTTTTAAGATTTAATTTTATTTCTGCACACAAAAGCTGGGGTGTAGGCCAGAGGTTTGGGGGGTGGGAGGATTCACCAGAGACAGATTGGGGAGCAGAATAGGCAAATCTATAGAAACACACTGCTGAGGGGAGCAGCAGGCTGTCAGGAGAGCTCTGCTGTGCCCTGGGGGTCAGCTCCCTGCTGGGGATGGAACTCAGTCTGCACTGGTTGATGACAGCTCAGAGTGCTGTGATTTAACCCCTTGTGCCACTAGGGAGGGCCCCAAAGACTATCATTTACTTGAAAATACACTTCTGGCTTCTCCCATAGGTGAGAGATGTTTCATTATGTTCTAAACAATCTACTAAACTGTCCCTTGACTCAGCTTCTAGATTTTTTTTAAATGGTTGACTTTCCTAATGTGATTCCAGAGAGGACAAATACATATGTGACAAATATATATAAGCAACTATACAGATCTAAAGTTTCTTTGGAAAAATAAGTAAGGTAGCAACCAACTTGAATATACAGAATTTACTTGGATTCTGATTTTAAATTGAAAAAAAAAAAACACATGACAAGAATAAAAAATCTGAATATAGATCAGCTTTCTGATATTAAGGGAATGTCAGTATTTTATAGATGTGAAAATGGTATTCTATCAATTTATATATCTACATATATGTATACATATATTTAAATGTCTATTCTACACTCACGCTAGAAGAAGTGGCTTTTGGATTTGCCTCAAATGATACCAGGAGGTGGTAAGTGCAGAGTGAAACAAAACGAGCTGGCCTGGGTGATAGGTGGGAATCAGAGCTCATTACACTATTCTCTTTATGCAATTATATAAAATGCTCTGTAATTGACTGTTTTTGAGTGTCCTGGATAAAAGGGCAGAGCTTAGGCCTGACGAAGAGATTCCTGGGGAGCCCGGTGCTGACTAAGCCAATGCCACACCCGAGTCTCAGCAGGCTGTGGAGGGGTCGACACTAGAGCTGCCCAGTGTCATCTCAGGAATCAGCCTGACAGGCACGGGACCACAGAAATGCTCCACAGCTCCTTGGGCCCAGGCTGAAGGTAATATGGAAGAACAGACCAAGTGAAGGCAACAATCTCCCTTTGCAGCAGCAGCTCTCAAAGTCGGGTCCCAGGGCCGGCACTGTGGCCATCACCAGTCTCCCCGGGAGCTTAGGTAGGTGTTAGAAATATGCCTGCCTGCGCTGCTCCCAGGCCCCTGGATCAGACGCCCTGGGTGGCGGCATCTGGGCTAAGAGAAGCCTTCTGAGTGGCGGGGAAGCCCTGTGCGCGGCAGGCTGGCTTCCCTTTGCTGAGCCTCAGCATGCCACTCCCCGCGAGGAAGGAGCCACGGTTAGAACTAAATCTGATGGGAAGATTTAGCCAGCATTAACCGCTGTGTGGACCCATGCAAAGGAAACGTGTTTCCTCTCTTCCTTCAGCTAATACCTATTTTGATATAACTTCATATGTGACTAAAGGGTCAGAGGCACAAGATTTGGTCCAGAATTCTGGCTCCATTTCTGCCTAGCCAAGCCCAGCCCCTCCCTGCACTCTGGCTGGCCCTTTGCTTAGAAAGCAGAGACCGAGATGGGCAGAGCGGGCTCCATGGCCCTAAGCCCCCAGCTCACCAATCAGCAGCTGCACAATGTTGGAGCCCCCGTACTTCCTCACATCCTCAATCCAGTGGGGCACCGACAGAAAGGAGCTCCTCCTGGTGATGTCGTAGGCGAGGATGGCCCCGTTGGCACTGCGGTAGTAGCTCTGGGTGATGGTGCGGAAGCGCTCCTGGCCAGCCGTGTCCCAGATCTGCAGCTGAAGAAAAAAGGGGTGTCCTGTGAACCTGGTGGTGTGGCCGAACACAAGGGCCAATGGGGGCAACCTCACAGACCTACAGCCCAAGTGCTGCTTCCACCGGGTAGGACTGGCACATGAGCTGCTGAAGATGGACATAGAGCAGGCCTTCTGAGCCCTCTGGAAGCAACCAGGGACCCACGTTTGAGGAAGGCAGGAAGGTGCAAGGGGAAGTGGGAGGTCCTCGGCTCCAAAAGGTGGTGAGGGGACAGGGCATGTTCTGCACTGCAGCTGAAGTCAGCTTGGGGGACTGGTGTGTCCCCCCTTTCCTCTAAACACTGGGCTCACTGGTGGGGAGCTAAATGGAGGGTTCACACAGCTCAGGCGGCAAGCTGCCCCCAGGGATGAGCTGAGCTGAGGGCCTGCCCTCCCCAGGCCTGTAAACACCTTCACATAAAGCTCCCCAGCATCAGGGCTCTACAGGTGAGGCTGCAGGTGTTCGTCCTCCTGGAGGTAAGGAGCTGGGCTGCCCCAGGGAGGGTCTGCAGGAGCACTGCACAGCCTTCTCCATCGGCCCGCCCAGCTTGCCCCACACATTTGCTAGTGCCTGCTGCCAAATCCGCCAGACACTGGCCACTGAAGAGGTGCCCATGTGTACCAGGAGTTTCCCTGGCTCTAGATGGAAACGACAGGATAAATACCAGATTGGGCAGGGAGGATACTGCGCCAGGGGCAGACCAGGGCTCAGGCCAGGTGGCTGCCCGCACTGGCTCTGGGGCTGGGAGAAATGGACTGTGTGTGGGCGTCAGAGTGGGCAGGTGGGCAGGGGTTCTGGGGTTGCGCCTCCCTTCTCTGCTCCCTGTCTCACAGGTGCTCAGGCCAGCTGAAGATGCACGAGAGATGCTCTACAGGGGCTGCAGGTCTGTCCACCTTCCCCTGCTGGCACCAGCACAGGAGCCTTTTTATCTCATTCCCAAGGCATGGGGTGGGGACAGGCCACAGAGGCGCCAGTTTGTGGGGGCAGGGCTGCTGACACGGGCCCTGCGAAGGTGTCCGCCTCTTCCCTCGGCCCCACCGAGAACAGCCCTTGCGCTCCGGGCCACAAAGCGAAAGCCCCCGGTCCTGAGACTCCGAACTCAGCGCGCTGAGGCTCAGGTCCACGCTCACGCATGACCACCGGGAGGAGCAAGGCATGAGCTTTGACAAGACACAGAGCTGGGGCCAATGACCAAAGGACTCATGTCCACACCCCAGAAGAGCGCATGAAAGACAAGCCAAACTACTACAGGGAAGAAACAATACGAACACCATTTTTCTAAGGCTGGGAAAGTACTCAAAAAGAAAAAGAATTCTTGAAAATTAAAAAAAAAAAAACAATGAAAATGCAACATAAGGCTTGAAAATAAGAGTTGAAATCTTTCCAAAGCAGAAGGAGAAATACCAAGAGATGGAAAGATGGGAGAAAATTAATTAATTCTATCTATCTATCTATCTATCTATCTATCTATCTATCTATCTATCTATCTATCTATCTATCATCTACCTACCTACCTACCTATCAAATAAACATTATATATATACATATATGCACAAATAAATCAGTCATTTTTAAAAATTGGAGGAGTTAGCTAAGAGATGTAATATCAAGATAAGAATTTCAGGCACAAAGGGAACAGTAAAACCAAGGGGAGGAAATCAAAACAATACTCTGAGAGAACTCCCCAAAACTGAATGGATGGGCCCACTTGTATAGGGGAGAACAACAGACCAACACTTTACACAGAAATGGCAATTCCTGAATAATGAGGAAAAGATCTCGAGAATACCCAGAGAGGAAAAAGATAGGCTTCAAGTTTTCACATAAGCCCCGATGGCATGAGACATTCAAGGAGAAAATGCTTTAAAAAGATGAGGGGAAGCCCTCCCTGGTGGCACAGCAGGTTGGGACACAGCACTGCAAGCAAGCTGCAGCCGCTTCAGTGCGATCTCCAGCCCCTGAGCTGATCCACTTGGCACAGCGGACCTCTCCTGACCCACCCACTGCTCCCCTCAGAAATGGACTTTGTCAATCAGCCTGTTCTGCTGCTCCCCACTGTCTCTGGTGAATCCTCACACCACCCCTGCACCTCTGGCTTGTACCACAGTTTTGTATGCATAAATAAATAAAGCTTAGAAAAAGGGGAGGGGGGATTATTTCACACCTAGAATTCTCTACCCACTCAACTATCAGCCAGGGCACTTCCAGACACGTGAGCCTCAAAACCTTTCCTCACAGACCATCTTGCTCAGGGCGCTACAGAAGATTCCTCCACTAACATAGTCAGCCACAAATAAAAAAATGAAGGCTCCAGAAATAGTGTTCAGCTCAATAGAGAAGCAGGGGAAATAGATCGCTAGGATGGCAGGCAGGGCAGAGCCTCAGACAACAGCCTCCCTCAGGAGCCAGGCCGCCGGGTCCAGGGCAGCTGCCTGCACCACAGTCCTTGGAGGCAGATGATGTTTTGCAGAAAAGTACCCACATCTGTCCTTTTCAGAATGTGAAGGCCAAGCAGCACTGGCTATTGCCTGTGGGAGGAGCAGACCTCACAGTCACCACAGGTCTCTGTCCAGGATGATTAGGCTAGTGGGCCCCAGACAGTGGGCTAGAACCCAAAGACCACGAGCTCAAGGGCCATTTCAGGGGAGGCAGACCAGAGTCTGGAGCAGCTGACATGCCTGAATGAGGAGCTATAAGGGGCTCTCTGTGGTGGTCACAGGCGGGCCCCTGTCTGAGGCCTGGATGTACAGAGTGGGAACACCAGATTTTTACCAGTGTGGCTGCAATGAGGTTGAGACCAGACCAGAGATAGAGGTTGTGTAGTGTAGGGGGGGAGGCTGAACTCCCAAGCTTGACACAGTGGAGAGACCGTTAGCACCCAAAAATCAAGCTGAGACATCAGGAAGGCTGCACCCCATGAATGATGACAATGGATGCTAAGAGCTCCAGAGGCCTCTCCCAAACAAAGTCTAAGACCAAGTCCCAACCTGAGTCTGGGGTTTGGAAGCTGAATTCTGAATTCCATCAAGTCAGACCAGAGAAACGTCTTTGGCTTTCCACCTATCTGCCCTTACAAACATGAAAGCAAGCCCACGCAGGTTCAAGGCGAGCAGAGTAACTGAACAGTAGCTGGTAAACTGGGCAGCCGGGAGGATCTTTTCAGAAAGAAAAGTCTTTTCAGGACTGGGAATATTATCATCCTACTCCTCCACGTTGGAGGAAGAGAAGGAAAGGGAACAGGGAGATGGGCAAGCTGGAAGTCATAAACCGGTTCTGTCACTTTCCAACTTGGGTCAAAGCTTAATTCTGTTTTTCATCTGTAAATAAAAGATGCTGTAGAGGTTAAATAATAGATTCAGTGTGCACAGTGTCTAGCACAGAAAAGGTACTGGATAAACACACCCATTTCACAATATTTACTGAGCTATTATCATTTTATGGCTAGTGTTTTTAATACATGCAAAGGAATGTTAATGCAAGGAGCAAGCAGAAAATGCCCAGAGAAAACCTGCAATGGCGGCAGCTCATTCATCTACTGCTCCAAGGCTACTGAGCGCCTGCGTGTCCCAGCCCAGGTCCTAGGAACCAGAGACGCCGCAGGGAATGAGAAGCTCCCATCCCAGGAGGGGCGGCGACAAGAAGCATGCGCTAGGGTGTCTGCATGGAAGAAAAGGGCTTTCTGAAGCAAGAAAAGGACCTAGGCAAGGCTCTCCAGGGTGGGCGCCTCCTGGGGTGCTCTGGGAAGTGATTTTGGAAGAGGCCTGAGGGGCAGAAGCCACCAGCAGGACGAGACCAGAGGGAACAGTGCGAGGGCTGGAAGCCCGCCCAGTTGCAGGTTCAGAAGGGTAGTGAGGCCAGATGGCAGGAAGGAAGGAGAGTGGGGGTGCCCTGGCTTCCTGCCGGGAGCCTCCATTTCTGGTCAGGAGGGCTATGGGCAGCCCCATCACTCCTGCATTCATGGCCCCCACATGAGCGGGACGTACAACTGTAGGAGTCAACCCCGACCATGGGGATAGGGGTAGAGGGTGTGGATGCTCCCTCTCAGGGTCACCTTTGAGACATCCCACAGGCATCTCATTTGCAAGCCTGGGCCAGATCAAGGCATCCGGCTGTGACAGTGACAATTTAAGGGCGCAATCTCATATTGCTTTTCCTTCCTTCTTCATTTCACAACCGCCAGTCCCTAAAACAGCCACACCGCGTCTCCAGTGCTGTTTTCCAGGGAGGCAAGGCCACAGCTGGGCTCTGACTGGTCTGTAAAGCATCTCCGGGGCTGCGGGGTGGAGCATGATCTGCTGTGGGTTCCAGAGAAGGTTTAGTAGAAGAGGCCTAATTACTTGGCCCATGTGCATTCCGGGTTTCAAGAGGCAGAAGCTCATGCTGGCTGGACCCCACGCTCCAGGCAGGGCCTACAGGAGGCTGGGTGACAGTTTAAAGAGTCTCTTCAAGCACCGGCATTCCCAGCGACAGGCAGGTCAGGCAAGCAGATGACCTCCCTCACCTATGCAGTGGAGAGCAGTCGTGGGCTCTCTCAGAAGCCAGGACAGAAGCCACTGCAAGGACGCAGGGACACACTAAAGCTGACCTGTGGGCCACCAGGTCCTGCGCAGAAAGGAGGCTGCAGGGCATGGGGACTGGCCAACGCTTTCAGCAAGACCCTGAGTCCACGGTTGTGTGCGCCTGCTCCCCTCTGCTCCCAGACCTGGGCAGGGCCTGGCCAGGGGAAGCGACTTCTGTTACCACCTCCCCCAGCCGCAAACCAGACTCCCAGGGCAGTCTCAACGTGCTCGGGCTCTGCCCCCAGCACTCGAGATCCTGCCAGTCTGTTCTCCCCCTTTGAGTAGCACCCTTCAAGGTCCATGGCTCCAACTCAGCTGCTGCAGCTTCCTCCCGGGCCTGACGTGCTCCAACCCAGCTGTCACACCACCGAGTTCTCCCTGCAGCCCACCTGCGTCCCAAGGTGAGCGCCTCTCAGGGTCTCTCC